ATCGTTGTTTTGTTTTGGTGCAGACGGACTCTGCATGGTCCAGATTTGTCAAATTTATGGAAATGCGAGCGCCAGTTTCATCTCTGTCTGTCATATTTTTATTGCCGTCCATTTCGGTTGCGTCCGAAGACTTGTCTAGTGACTTCGTGCGTTGCCTCTTGTTTCGCTGAACGCGACGACTATGACCTTTTACCGGTTTCTTGAGGTTTATGTGGTCCGGCTCATTGGTGTTTTTCATGTCCTTTGTATCTTGCTCAGGGGGTTTAATTTTGTTATACTTAAGAAGTGACGCTATTATTTCAGTGAGGAGGTCGACGTCTACTTCTAGTTTCAAAACTCTGCTGGTGAGTTCTCGACATCCATCACAGCGTGTCGACATGTCAGTATCTACCTTATTTGTGGCTGATATCATCAGTGAACTGCGTTCTTCAGGGTTCTTGCTGATAGAAGCGAACAGGCGAATTCCAGGTAGCAGTTGAGAAGACGAAAATGCGATTACTGGAAAAAGAAATTTATGGGTCAGACGTTTCGGATTCCAACTCGAACCCATCATCAGAGACAGTCGCAGATAAAGATGATGGTGGCACAAGTAGCGCTGCATTTATAGCACGTGGCTGCCGTGGGACCATATGCGTGCTGTAATTAACAGCTCGAGCATTCACCGCCGGGGTCGTAATTGATGCGATAGTGGCTTGTCAGTCCGCATCTGAGCCATTAATTGCCATGATTTCGCCACCCGTGTTGGATGCTGATGTGACGATTGTTCGGCGGATTGGCTCAATGTCATTTGGATAGTTGCTCGCCCGCGCCCTCCCCGCGTGACTGATTCCGCTGCCCAGGGAAAATCTCAGCACCGAATACGGCAACGGGAAGTCATTGCGCTTGTTGATGGATTGCGGGCCTGAGAACCATGACTCGAACAGCCCGCGGCTCACGCGGTTGTCATCCCTTGCGAGGATTTCGGCCTCTTGAAATTTGAAAATATGGCCAGGCCCCGTCGAATGTGCCGCTACCAGAGAGTTAGCGTCTTCCTGCGTCACTGCTGTTGTGTGCTCGACAATTCGCATTCAGATTAATCTCCCAGTTTCTCAGACATAGTTGCTTTGTCCGCAACTACACCAGATCCGGTAAATGACTCCAGACGTGTCCTGCCGTGGCAGCGGGTCTTTTGGCCTCATGACTTGGCGCCTAATGGTTGCTTCTGGCCTGTGTGCAATCGCAACTCCAAGTGGAGTGAGAAGAGGACTGACGGCTTCCGATACGTTCTTTACGTACAAAAGAGTCCGCCAAAAGTTGGGGCCGGTTGGGTTTAGTCTCTGGTGTCCTTTTCGTATGCACTGGTTGACAAAGTTGCGTGGGTAACCATTGGCTCTCATTAACCGTCGAAGATATTGTAATTCAGCAACCTTGTCTTCAATTTCACTGCAGTGCGTCTCAACGCGCCGGCATAGTGCCGTTACGCAACGGCGTTTTTGACGCAGTGCACACACTTGCTGCACCCGTGCACGAACACTATCCAGAAGGGCAGAAACACACTGCAACGAGCCAGACGACAAGAGTCGGAACTGCGCTATCTTCAGCGCTTTTTCGTGGCGAACGGATATACTCGCATCTTCATAGAACACAGTAGAGAGCTTGGGCCAAGCCGAAGTCCAGTGGTATGGCGGTCAAAAGTCTTGCGAGTGCTTCCTTGCATTAATAGCGTCTCAGTCTCCCGTCTCCTAATATCACTGGGGATCGACATCACCCATCGGCCAGAGTCAACAATTCGACATCTGGTCATGAGACCAAAGACCCCCTGCCACGCGATGAAATAATAAATGTCATTTATAGGATCTATTGCAAATCCTGTGAAATGAAATATCTTGAAGAGACCGGCAAAAGATTGCAGACCCGTGTTCGAGAATACATGAATACGGTAAAGAGGATGGACTCGTTGTCCCTGGTGGCAGAACACTGAGCAAACTCTGGACACACGTTCGCCCCCCAGAATGTCGAAATCCTGGACGGAGGAATTGACCGCATATCCAGGGAAACAATCAAGGCGCGAGCTCCACCAACCGCTGTGTATCGCTTCCCGAAGCCTACCAGGCCCTCCGGACGCACCTCAGTGAACAGAGGATCAAGCGCGGGGTACGACAAGACATGCATAATGATATTACCGGGAAAGACAGGGTAGACTGGAGTGGTCATTTCTGGCTTATTAGCCGTCGGCAATACCATTCCGCCTATATCATGCGCCGCTATGCGGCTGATGGTTGGGCTCGCGAGAGAGAGACCTAAGACACAACGGGACGAGTGAGTTCCATAGAAACGATCGGTAAGCGTCCCACTACCATCATATACGTGTATATATTTAATAACCCTCGTTTTTTCTAAAAGGCTCCTATTATTATTATCATTTCCGTATTACACGTGATTTTGCGACATAGTTAAGGGCTCATGCATATCCGTTTCCGACACTGGTAAGACACTCGGGCAGGAATCCCTCTCTCCTTCCATCTCTCGGTAATATCAGTGGGCATGCGCAAAATTCCGGTAACAGTAAATATTCCCGTGCCCTAACCTCAAATAAAACCCTAGTCTCAACACTTACTCTGATATTAACATTAACCTTTGTCTCCCTGGGAATTAGCAAAACACACCCGGATTTGGGAGGGGGGAGGGTGGGGGGTTACGATTTCCATGTTTTGCACCAACCTTTTTGTTAGGGTGGTGTTCATTGACTATGAACAATGATCCCGCCGGAGGTACATTAATCTTTCATAGAAGAAGACGGGAAGGCGATCGCTGGGACCAATGGTTTATTTATCCGACGTTTCGAACTTTCACGCGAGCCCATCGTCGAGGAATGAAAATACTGTCCAACTCATCGCATATTTAGCTCATATCCGCCGGGGATGACCTCCAGCTGCGCTGCTGATTTGTCCACACAGTGCTTGATAAGCGATTGGCAGATCGATATGTCGATTGATAGCGTCCTCAGGTGAGTGCCCCGCTTCCTGCAGCAGGCGCCCAACTCGGTTGTCTGACTGCCCCAGTATTCTCACGCTCTCGAAGTCAAAGGCGTGCTCTGGCGAAGAGGCGTGGGCGGCTACCAAGGCGAGTTTGTCGTTCCGTCTCACAGCCAATTCATGCTCGTGCAATCTCGTGCGGACCTGTTTGCCGGTTTCACCAACATAACTGGCCTGACCGTATTTGCAGTCAAAATAAGTAGCTCAGAGTGAACCGCGTCGAAGCGGCTGTTGAGGCGTTGGATAGGCGCGATGGGGCAAATTTATTGCCTGACTGACGTTTGGAGCAATACTACAACCGCTACAACCCACAGAGTACTGCTGGCAGTCCCGCTTGTTGTGCTTTTATGTCCACTGCAGTCTCGTAATCGCGAGCGCGTCTGCTAACTCATGTCGCCTTTGGTTCACGTAGCACACCTTGTCTCTTGAACGCCTGCGCCGCGCATGATAGCTTCCAGTGTGGAGACAGCGTTACACCGATCAGTGTCTTGGCCTTCGTTGATTGGCTGCTTACAGACACAGTCCAGGCGCACGTCCACACCTCACGCCGAGCCCTCAAACAACAACGGCTGGCCTTCATTGTGTCTGAACAATTGCTGCCACTGGTTTCGGGACTGCCCGTGGCCCCCAGCACAGTAACGACTATCCCACCTATTCTGCTACCCCAACTTTTGATTTAGGGATCTCGGCATTGTCGGCCACCACAAGTCAACAGTCCCACCTGACTGAGGACAGACAAGCAGTTGTAGCAACAGGTTCACCTTCTCTTAACTGTCATAATAATAATGACAGTGTATTTAAGGGTAATAGGCAATGCCCTTGATGACCCTATTGAAAACGGTACATAAAATATAAATGTTCAATGTACATCTTACAAAATTTTGTCAGTAACATATTTATTCACGGAAAACTTCTTCACAATGGGGGCTGCGAAGGGTGCGGCAGGTGGTCTTCTCAGTGTACATATGAAATTTTGAGTGCAGTTATATACAATCAGCATAAAGTGCAGTCACTTGCATAGTTTGAGAGGAGACATTTCATTTAAAGTCAGGGATGTGTTAAGAAGGGATGAAATCAAGAAATGAAATTTATGGCTGACCGCAGATAGTCCTGTTGTGGAAGTCGTCGTTTGTCAAAGATCAAACGATCCAGCTGCCTTTTGAATGCAGTGATTGTATCAGATGTCACTATTTCACTTGGGAGTGAGTTCCACGGTCGAACAACACGCTGGCTGAAGGAAAACTTCCGATTGTCTAGGCGTGTACGCTCCCGCTTGACTTTGTACGGGTGACCGCGCAGGTGACTCGTGATCGTGAATTCAACGAAGTCTTCAGTTTTGAGCGAACATTCATGCTTTGCGATTTCCGGGCTTCATTGGCTCCTTGTGGCGACTGTGACCTTTCAACTAATTTCATATGCACGGTCAGTGTGGAAACATCCTTCTTGGACGCAGCTGAGTATGGGTCTGAAGTAGACCCCGAGGCGTACTCTTAGGTCCCTGGCACTCTGCTGCACGGTGGCGTCGACTTACGGAAGACCAGGAGCCGTCAAAACAAAAAAACTCGATTGGATATGAAGAATTCGGAGCATTCCAATCACACGCAGAGGTACTTGCCAAAGTGAAACTTCTTTCAACACAGTAGTTTCTTGGTCTTACGCTGTTGAGGCTCCTTCATTTTGGAAGCTCGGAGCATCAATCAAGTGTAAGACGATGGGACTTGTTGTACAAGTTCAAAATTAACGTTTCGTTTCTGAGTAATAGGCTAATATCTGGAGATAACGAGCAAATATAGGCGCTTTTTCGACTGGATTAAAAGCCTGAGCGCGCTGACAACGAATTTTAATCGAGCAGAAAGATTGCAAAGATTGATTTTTATTAAAATAAACGCATACGAAGAGCGAACACGCAGATGTCCATGAAAAATCAGCGGGAAGTTGAAAACGTTGAGCAATGGATGCTGCAGTTGCAATTTGCCGGAACCTCTGTTACTGGGAATGAATCTCCCAGGTTTCATCAACTTTAGCCACTGGAAATTCCGCCTCCTGAAGGTCAGCCAATTTTCTAAGACAGGATTTCGGTGTTTGTACAGCCTGCGATCTCTCAGAAACCCTGGGTGCCTTTTGTTTTACTCGGCGGGGTACGAGGCTCTTTGATTTGCGTCTGAAATGCAAATGGATGGGAAAAGGTGATTTGAAGGAGAAAATAGGGATTTCAAAGGCGCTCCTTGTCGATATATGAGTTCGACCGTCGCCACTACCGCCGTCCGGAGGGGGAGTTGAGACGGCCTGCGGGTGAAGTTGTTTGTAGTGGGGCGAACTTACGCCGCATCTATCTCACTGCCTACTCTTATATCTGATATTTTACCAAAGTAAAGCAGATCCAAGGAGACTGAAGGGATGTTAGAATGCGGTGCCTGTCACAACTAAACGGCTCGTCTACTATCTGAAATTAACTTTACGCGAACCGGGTGTAAAGGAGGGAGAGGAGGGAGGAGGAGAGGGGAACCATCACCATAAGAAGTACCGCATTAGAGGTCACATCAAGAAGGAATCACTCGAGTCGGACGTGGACTTCTGTGCAGGATCTAGCTGGGCCGTAATTTGGTAATCTGTCAAGACTTTTGTGCGTGTCTGATCGATTATTTTAAGGAAAGGTGGCGAGCGAATGTTGCTTTCGATAACTTCTCGTCAGGTCATTACAGTTATTGCTGATAGAAGGATGGGGAACAGTGAGTGAAAAAATCGATAAAAGTTAGTTTTTTAAAATACAGGCTAGGCAAGAGCGGAAGGACACAGAAAGTTATATGTGGTTAGTCAACATTTGACCACGGTAAGCTCGGAGCCTGAACTAGGTTCTTCTGAGCGCATAGGGTCAGTTTTCGTAACCTGATGGCGGCTGCTTCTGTTGTTGCTAACATGCGCTAGTCCAGTAGCCTAGGGTAGCTCGAGGGGACCTTGTAAATCAAACGAAATGCTTCAGCGGGGTTCAAATGATGCCCTGAATCCACTGCATGCGCAAGGATGGCGCTGTCTATTATCCTAGTTTCGCCTTTTGCCAGCCATGCGGGAAGGTGCTCTCGTATTCTTTTGGAAAGACGCCGACTCGTGCGACTAATATGACGTAGTCCACAGAAAGAGTGGATGAGTAGATGCACACTAAGTTGGCACCCTATCCTTGCTTTCTCCGCGTAAAATAGGGTTAGTAGAGAATGATATGCGAACTCTTACTGATGAAAAGGTTCTCGAGACAGCTTGATCAAGGCGTCTTTTTAGGAGTTTACTCGCAGCATTTCCTTGGAAAGGAACTTTGAGAAACAAAGTTTTCTTTTCGGCAGTCAGTGTGGTAGGTTTTGCGGGCCCTTAGGCAATGTTCTTTGCACCGAACCTGCCAGAATACCCGTTTTCGCGAAGCAAGTTCTGGATTTTTCTAAGTTCCTCCTGGATACTATCTGTTGAACAAACTTTTCCAGCCCTTTGTGGCAAACACCTGACTAGATTTCGTTTTTGTTGGACAGGTACGAAACTAGCGAAGTTCGTGTATTGTCCAGATCATGTTTTCTTCCAATAGACGTTCCTTCGGACACTCCCGTCAGCTCTCCTGTTTAGAAGAACATCTAAGAAAGGAAGCGAACCGGCCGATTCCATCTCCAACGTGAATTTGATTTTAAGGAAGTTAAAAGTTGGATTAACCCCGCATTCTCCTCGGTCTTCTATGATTCAACAGCCTGCCCGAGTAAAGTCAAACTGGAATAACACTCGGAGCAGTGGTTATCATGGTGTCTGTTTGCCTCGTACCACGAAAATATGAAGAACTAAAAAAATAAATGAGAATTTAATCAACAGCATTTTCTAACTATCACAATGTGGATGGGAGAGTTGATTCTGCCCGGAACTGAAAGTCCGACCGCAGTGGTAATTTCTTAACATGGCCTCTGCGGCATACTTTACTTCTGCAAGATCGAAGTTTGGGCGTGGCACGCGTTGCCCCCCGGCTTCACGTCAAGTCAATTACTGCGCTCAGTCCCAACAACAACCGACCGACAGGCTCGGAAAGGCTGCTGGTGTGTTGTAGGGGAGGGATGACAGAAGGGGAGACAAAGAGAGCGATAGAGGGAGAAGGATAGAGGGTGACGTCATTTCTGCCCTTGACCTCCTCACCGTAGGATCCGAAAGCGTTCGGCTTTCCATCACCCCCTTCCCCCCCCTCCTTCTCCTTTTACTCCCGTTTTGCTTGGAGTTAGTTTCAAATCGTGCACATACCGATAACCTTTGTCCGTCATCGAACTCAAACATATCTCTAATCGTCTTGCATTGGTCTAACATTGGTAAAACGGTAGGCCTGGGAGTAGAGGGTGAGATAGGTGCTGGGCAAGTTTGCTCCACTGCAAACTGCTCCACACGCGTAGTGATACTTATACTGGCAGCAGCTTTCTTCGCTCCCGCAGGTCGAACTGATGATGCCCTCACTGAATGCGCTCCATCGATGCTCTTGGCGAAGCCTTCTATATTCGCCATATACTAGTAATCTGGTCGCATCTCCTTTGCCCTATCCTCGGAGGGACTCTGATGAATGTAACAGACCGCATCTGGGTTCTTGTCGTGCCCTTACAGAATGCGCTCCATCGGCGGTCTTGACAAAGCCTTCTATATTCGCCATATACTAGTAGTCTGGTCGCATTTCCCTTCCCCCATGTTCGGATGGACTCGGTTGAATGAAACCGACCGCATCTGGGCTCCTATCGGCTTGAGACTGGTTTTCAATTTCGGCACTTATTTTTCTTATTCAAGGCGATACAGGCCAGTCCTGACCGACCCGCCTACGTACCATTTTATGAAATCCGTTACACAATGCCATATACAGCTGACATTTATTTCGGCCATGTTGATGTCGGACTAGATTCCATTTTGTACCGCCACATGCAGGCCAGTCCTCCCTGTTTTTTTCTGATGCTATTTTTCTGAGGGGTTTTTTTTCTCCTGTTAAATTACTACAATCATTTTTAAATTTTGCTTTGGAGTTTTTTTTCACCCCTCGTTTTTTTCATTTTCATTTTGCTTAACGGACTTCTAATCTCAAAAACTATGCATTGCACTTTGTGCAGATTTTGCCTACATCGTCTAAAATTTGTATGTAAATTTATTTTTACTTGCTTTGATGGGACCCCGACGGGTCTTTAATAAAAATAATTGAATTGAATTGAATTGAACTATCGTATGAAATCCACAACTTGTAATAACCTATGTCACTTGTTGCAAGATCTGCCCTAATACAACTTGTTCCAAGGCAGAACGAGGGTCTAAATGGCCTGATATTCCGAGAAAATACCTAGCTCTCGAGACTTCGTTTCTGACGGCCAATTTTCGGAGTACACGTTTTTCCAATCAAGTAAATCAAGCTCTAAAATAAAGTGTCCATTTGGGGGAGTGACAAGAAATTTAATGGTCACTGGGACCTAAAGCTCATAAGTTCCCCCTCATATAACCGTTGAAGTACAGAAGGGGACAGTTGTTGCCGCGGTTCCAGCCCCTTCGTTCAACGAAAGTTTGCATCTGATCTGCCTATTAAAGTCAAACAGGGTCCCGGGAACATGGGGCGGGCTTTCTTGACCTTACCTCAGGGCTAACGCCCAGAGTTTACATACTCTCTGATATTGGCCGACGGTTATAATGGCACTGCTATGACTGTGAACGCTTTATTTCGATCTAACATCGTCGCTTGAGGCCTTAACATTGTTCAAGAATCACCCATGTCTATAAACGACAAACATATAATGGTGAAGAAAGTGACAGCATCTTCGTCGCAGAAACTGGGAGATTACTCCATACGCGAATTGCCGTGCATATAGCAGCAATGAGGCGGGGAGACGCTAGCTCTCTGGTGGCGGCTCATTCGACGAGACCCGGCCATATTTTCAAGTTTTAAGAGGCCGAAATCATCGCAAGGGGTGACAACCGCGTGAGCCGCGAGCTGCTGGAGTCATGATTCTCAGGCCCGAAGTCCATCAACAAGCGCAACGACCTGCCGTTACCGTATTCCGTGCTGAGATTTTCCTGGGCAGGGGAATCAGTCACGTGGGGAGGGCGCGGACGAGCAATTATCCTAGTGACAGTGAGCCAATTTGCCGAGCAATCTTCACACCAGCATCCAACACGGATGACGAAATCATGGAAATTAATGACTCGGACGCGGACTGACAGGCCACCACCGCATCAATTACGACCCCAGCGGCGATTGTGAGAGCTGTTAATTACAGTACGCATATGGTTCCACGGCGGCCACGTGCTATAAATACAGCACTCCTTGTGCCACCATTAACCTTATCTGCGACTGTCTCTGATGATGGGTTCGAGTGGGAATCCGAAACGTCAGGCCAATAGATTTCTTGTTCCAGTGATCGCATCTTCGTCTTTTGAACCGCAACCTGTAACTCGCCTGTTCGATTCTATCAGAATCCTCGTGCTGCAGCGTTTGATGTCACGCACCTGTTGTTTACCTGCATCCTCTGTCAACATATTGGCTCAATGGAACGCCGCAAATAGATGTTCTAATTTTGTCGGCGTTTTATTGAGATAAAATCAAATGAAAACCGTTTGCGACGCCAACCCCTATCGACTCCAGAGAGCATAGCTACTTGTTATGCTTCTGCCAGCGCGTGCCCTGGGCACGAGTTACCATGCTGCGTCGAGTTCGCGCATCCCAGAACAAATGCCACACACGGGGACTGCTTGTGATGGCACACCTAGGTGCAGGTTCACGCCACGCCAGGCGCTCACACACAGCTCCCGCATCAGACGACTGATCGGCTCGGACAGTGGACTGGTGCATGGGAGAGAAAAAAAGAGGGAGGTCGACACTGCGGGATCTATTCCTGCGGCATTTCAACACATTCCTCAGCACGAAAAATCTGACGCTAAAAGTCGTGGTTTGGAAGGCTGCCAACTGACGGGATGAGTCATTCCTTGTCTCAGTCTGCGATCGCTCATTCTGAATGCGACCTATTTAGCAATCTCGCGCCGATGGCAACCGAGTAGAAGATTTCTTGTTTTATGTGAACACCTCTTCCATCGTGAACGGATCAGGTCAGGTCCGCTAGGCGTGGGCGCTTCGTTAGTTAGAAGTCTAACGCCCAATGATCGCGAGTTCGAGCCCCAGGTGCTCCACGATTTGGGGCTGGGTATGACTGGCTGACAACGGCTAATAAGCCAAAAGTGGCCATTCCAGTCTCCCTTGTCCTTGTCGGTAATAACAGTTCGCCCTTATTTTTTGCCATCTCGTCTGTACGTAGATAGTACCGTTAAAACAAAGACCTGACCTTCCTGTCCAAAAGCTTCCGACATATGAATGAAATCCACCAAAATTTTGATTTCCTTTGAATTATTTACCGAAAAATTTTGTTAACAACAGTTCAATGGACACTTCCTGGTAGCTAACATGCGTTTTCATGCATGTCATTTTACCCTTTTGAAGAGTTTACATTATTTGACCAATAGGAGTTACCTTGGTTCGTATTTGGTCTTCTCCCTGACCGGTCTGCGTCTGCCGGTGATGGCGTACACTGCGACGTCGTCAAGTTTCACCAGTCTGGGAAACCTCGCTAAAATGGTCTCCCGGTAGAAGGGTTCGTATGCCAGGGGGTTCCCAGCAAAGTTCAATTCTTCCACAAAATGCAGGGCGTGAAACTCGCTCAGAAGCTCCTACAGCAACGAGTGTCGTGGTAAAAGGAGTTGGACAAGTTTTTGTACAAATGATCTGTGAAAATAAACCCAGTGTTTTTCATGTGCTTGGAAAGTTAAAAACATAGCATGCGATCACCAGAACGGTAGGTGCAACAGGCTCACGAATACCTGAGCTTATAAGAGGGCCGTTCGGAGATTCGACCGGGTCGTCACAAGTCGCCACCCGTAACCTGTAGGAGGACTATGAGTTCGGCTTCGCAACCATACGAATAAAGGCGAGAACCACTAAAGGGCTAGGTTTTAATGAAAGTCCGACCATCGTGAACGATGGTATCCACCATGTGCCCAACAGCATTGTGGGAGCAGGGACGGTGACTTTCGCCTGAATTAGTTTATAATGATACTAGACCTGAGTTGCATTTACCGCACTCTCCCTTCCTCCACCTTCCTGGGTCCGACGTGAAGACGTAATCAAGAGGACCGGAGGCCGGATGGGACGCATTGGCCAGGTCTCCGATACCATCTTCACAAGCAGGTGCGCTGACATTACCCACTGTTTCAGTTCCAGTTTATTAAGGGAAATAATGGCTAGCGCATTTGAACTCCTTATTGGTTACAAGTCGTCGAAGAAAACTATTTATAAGTGGGAAGATGAAAAAGAGATTTTGTACATAATCGCGGACAGCTGGCAGCCAGTCGATAAAGAATAATCATTAACGGTTACTTACGAATTAATAGTAGCATAAACACGTATAAGTTGGTGCCGGGTTATGTGAGTGGATGTGAGGCTGGTAATTGGGAAGCTTGATACGCGTCAAGCCTACACTTAAAGGAATTTACACGGGAGGAGATTAGAACATCGGTAGGCAGGGAATTCCACGCAGCAACCACTCTGTTGCTGAAAAAGGACTTTCGTCCATTGGTTCTTGATTTCCCTGCGCGTAGTTTTAGGGGATGGCCGCGCAAATTGGGCGTGTTAGCTTGGGTGAAATAATCAGTGGGATCTAAACAACAGTCTAGGCCGTTGATGATGCGAAATGTTAGTATAAGGTCACCACGTAATTGCCTGTAGGAAAGGGGAAACAGGTTTAGGATTGACAGTCTGGTTTCATAGGGCAGTGCTCCCAGACCTTGTGTCATTTTGGTCGCCCGTCTCTGAACCTTCTCCAAGACGGTATAGTCCTTGGCAGTCCAAGGTCTCCACACCTGTATGGTGTATTCTAGATGAGGCCGCACGTAGGTGCCAAATATTTTGGAAAAGCAGTCAGGGTCAAATCCCATAAAGGCTCGCTTAATGGAGTTGCAATGTAGCCATAGCCGATTTGGCCGCCTTCGCGCAGTGCAGTGTTGGTTTCAGTGAAGATGTAATCCATACACTTAAGTCCTTCTGGCTGTCAACCTGTTGCAGTGGTGTGCCATGTAGAAAGTAAGTTCTGGGACAGGAGGCTCTGAAGCTGCCACGTTGAAGAAAGTTACACTTGCTTATATCAAAGGGCATAAGCTAGCGCTTCGGCCAGTCTTCGAGTCTGTTCAAGTTTGTTTGCAGGTGGTCTGCGTCTGCCGCATTGTGAATAACTTTCCACAATTTAATGTTGTCGGCAAACAGGATGGCATCACAGTCTGGGACCTTGACGCAGTCATTTATGAAAACGAGGAATAACGTGGGGTCTAAGGCCGAGCCCTGTGGGACGCCAATCACCACGCTTACATCTGAGGACTGTTGACGCCCGACCTTCACTCTTTGGGATCGTCCAGTCAAAAAGCTCCGGATCCGTACAAGAAGGCGTCCACGAAATTCAGCGTTGAGCAGTTTGAGCAAGAGACGTTAGTGAGAAACGCTGTCGAAGGCCATTTTGAAGTCGATGTAGATGGCGTGCACCACATTGCCTTCCTCGCGTGCTTTGCTCCAGCGTTCTAGCGTAAAGAGCAGATTCGTGAGACAGGACTTACCACCTCGAAAGCCGTGTTGGGCATCGGAAAGGAGGTGGTGCTGCTCGAGGAACTGCACCAAGGCCTTCTTAATGATCTTCTCCATGATTTTACAACAGATGGAGGTAAGACTCACTGGCCTGTAGTTATTTGCAGACGCACGACTTCCACCCTTAAAATGTGGAGTGATGGTAACAGACTTCCGATCAGAGGGCAGACATTCAGTAAAAAATGATGCTTGGAAGATCAAGGCTAACGTCTTGGACACTTCGGGAGCTAGCTCCTTCAGCAGCTTGGCCGGCATTGCATCAAGGCCTGGGGAGGCCGATTTTTTCAGGTTTATTAACGCTTTCTGGACGATTGGTTCGGCGAAGAAGACTGCTGCGAGGGTAGGCGCTTCCTCGTCTACACAAGTGAGTGAGAAAAAATCAGCTTCACTTGTCACGATGGACCGGATAACTGAGAGAGATGTTCAGCCTTATCCTTGTCATCTGAGATATCTGTTCCCTCGGCCGTTCGAAGCAATGGAATGGGATATTTGTTCCGTGTGCTCTGTCTTATGTAGCCGTAAAGGACTTTGGGATTAACCATGGCACGGTTCAAAAGATCCTTTTTAAAGGCTTTCCTATCTCTGGTGATGAGAATTTTGATCCGATTCCTCTGTAACTTATAAATGCTTAGGGATTACTGCGTCCGGTCAATCAGGGATCTTTTCTATAGCTTCCTCTTCTTGTTCACTTCATTCTTTAAAGACGGAGTCAGCCAGCGGGGTCTATTTGTTAGTCTTCTGCGCATTATTGGACAGTGGTCGGAGATGAGGCTGTGGACTATCTCTTTGAACCGACGCCAAACCTCTTCGACATCGCCGGAGAGAGTGGATGCCCAGTCGACAGGACGAAGATCCTTTTTAATCTGTTCAAAACGCGGAGTCAAATAGTGGGTCGGGAATCGAGCGGTTTGCAGGCAAGGAGAATAAGATGTATTTCCACATGAGAACTACATGCTCACTCTGACTCAACGGGGGAAGCAATTTACATCGTCGATGTTGTCAGACGACTTGGTGGACACAAGATGAAACAGTTCATTTGTTGGCCCTCACAAACTCTCGTTGGAAACATTACGTGTTGGGTGAGAAGCAGATTGTCGAACGTACGCAAGAGCTGATGGTCAAATGCTGCTTCAGAGTAGTCGGCTGAAGCCGAGCTCCAATCGATGTGAGGTGCATTAAAATCCCCACCGATGAGAGTATTCGGCCGCGTTGAAACTTATCTAAGCTCATCCAGCAGTTGGGCAGCAGCGTCAGGGTCATTTCTCGGGCGCGATATAGACATCAAGGCTTTGAGAGCCAGGTGCCTTTGTGGTCAGCCATAATGCTTCCGTACTACAAATCAATGTGTCAGTTTTTTCGAAAACGTACAAGCCATTCTTAACAAGTGTTACCGTGCCTCCACCTATTCTGTTTTCTCTGTCTCTGCGGAACAGTTGAAATCCAGGAAGCATGGCCCCCCTATCATCAGCCTGTTCGGACAACTATGTTTCTGTTATTGAGATAACGTGTGGGTGGAGATAGGAGATAGGGATACGGAGTTCATTCAAGTTTGAAAGTATACTATGCGCGTTGGTATATATGGATATGAGTTTCGAGTTCCTGCGAGATTTATTTTCAACGCCGACACAGGCCACTGGGGTATCTGTGCGGTCATTCGGGTCGGCTTGATCTAGAGGTGAGCAGAGTGTCGTTTTACTATCCGGTCTTTGTAGATTGTCAATTTTTTTCTCCGTTGGCTTGCCGTGTTCTCAATTCTGGGACAAGGTCGCTGCGTTTCATTCTCTAGTCAGGTAAGAAGTCCGATTGAAAAAATATTCCTTTTTGGGAATACTTCAGTCGAAAACGCCTGGAAAGGATTAGTTCGCCTGCTCATTGCTACCTAGGACGATTTTTAGGGGTCGTTGTGTCGTCTGTGAAGCGGCGTTTATACGGCTACTAAGACGAAACGCCTTTAAGAATGTGATATTTTCCGTTGGTTGAAGCATTTCATTTAGAAGTTTCTGGAATTGCTCTAAGTCAGCAGCAACTCGTTCCCTGGGGGTACTGGCGGAGGACTGGGAGGCCCAGAATTACGATGCAGTGGTCCTTGTTAAGCATTCCTCTGTCTTCTGCGATTTGGCCATCGTTTGCTGGTCCTTTAGCCTCAACGAAGTGGACTGGCGAAAAGGAGAGGGCTGCCATATTGATATTTATGTCCCCGTTAAGTTCATCTGCGAACCTTGTTGAGGCATCGTGAATAGTTACGCACTGTGATTGATCAACAATGCCTCCCATCAGAGGGCCCTGAGGAGAACTTGACCCCCAAGAATTAGGGGCTTCCTCAGCTCGGTTCTCAACTCTGTTATCAACAACTGTTATCACACATTACGTTCACGCGGCCCACTGTCGCACAACCCAGTTTTCTACATAGGAGGCAAACAGTCACCACACAATGAGACCGACAGTTTGACCGTCGTTGCGGACGATGTTCACCGTATTTTCTACAGCAGGGTGACAACAGGGACGGTGACTTGTTGCGGGCGAATTAGTTCTTAGTGATTGTAGACTTGCACTGGGCCTGCCACATTCTCCCCTTGGGCTCGGAGTCATAAAACAGTCAAGAAGACCGGAGGCAATTGAGGGCACAGTGGGGACTGGCAGGGAGAAAACATACATCAAGGCGTGTGGTAGGGGCGCTCAACAATCGTTCTTACCGATACTCACTCGTTCCGTCGTGCCTTTTTTGGGCTCTCTCTCTCGAGCCCAACCAACAGCCACACAGCGGCGCAGAATGGCATTACCAACAAAGACAAAGGAGACTGGAATGGCTACTTCTGGCTTATTAGCCGTCGTCAGCCCGTCTCCACACTTCGGTGTTGGGTATGACTGGCTGACGACGGCTAATAAGCCAGAAATGGCCATTCCAGTCTCCCTTGTCTTTGTCAGTAATGACATTCTGCGTCGCTGTGTGGCTGCTGGTTGGGCTCGCGAAGGAGCCCGTAAGGCACAACGGAACGAGTGAGTTCGGTAAGAACTATCGGTGAGCGCCCCCTACCATTGTATATTCCCGATCGAAACCGAAAGGGCAACGGGCTCGCGGGTCACTGGTTAGAGGCGTGGGCTTCTAACAAACAGGTCGCGAATTCGAGCCTCGGGTGTGCCACACTTTGGGCTTGGGTATGACTGGCTGACGACGGCTAATAGGCCAGAAATGGCCATTCCAGTCTCCCTTGTCTGTGTCGATAATAACATACTATCTAGGCGTGTCCCCACACCCTCTGGTCCTCAATGCACGCTCACAAGGGAACGGCTCGAATCCAAATTGGGCGTGCCGCCACACTACGAATTCTAGCATAGGTGATGGGTGAACATTCCCAATAATACCATTCAACCCCCCTCCCCCCTGTAGCTCCTGTCTTGGTTCAGCTCATCAATTGCCTGACCCGAAGGCTTGGGTTAATGCAGTCGCCGTGCTGGCGATGGTATACATTTTGTTTCCTTAACAAGAACCTGGGATTTGTATACTCACCTCTAATTTTAGAAATTTACAGGAGATGGCGTTACTCATGAAATAAAAGAAAAAATTCTGCAATCTGCTTTCGATTGGAAAGGATTACTTAGTTCGGGGTGTAATACTGCTAAACTTGCAGCATAATCCGAATATATTTCAGTCAAGCCAGAATGTCGGCTTTTAAATGCATGCCTTGGTTGCTTCTTGAAAAAATCACAACAGGACTGAATTATATGGCCCCTTAAACTATGCATGGGAATAGAAACGCCCCGCCCAAGTAGTAAAGCTGGGCCTGCGCATAATTCCAGAAAGGGTATAATATTCCCGTGTCCTAACCCCAAAAAGAATCCTCGTATAAAACAAAACCGTTGCGCTAATCTTGACCCCAATCCTCGCCTAAGCCTTAACCCTGCAATTAACGCTAGTCCCACCCTTAACCCTAAGCGTGATCCTAGCTTGTGTTGCCGTTAAATTTAAATCTAACTTTAAGCCCAATTCTTAACTTAAACCTAACCTCTGCCGTAAAACTAACCCTAACTTCACTGGGAGTTGGTTAAAAGCCACCCGTATTGCAGGCGGTTCCTGTTCTCATGTCCTGTTCAGGGGGCCATACAAGTCACTACTACCAAAAAATTAAAGCGTAAGTAGCATGAATTTGTCTCAAGTAATTTTCGATGCCCTTATCCCAATGTAGTTAATGAAAAGCATACACGAAAACCTCCGTTCCGGCACACATTTTGTAGTAAATGATGCCTATTTCAAATCTCCTGCGCAAAGAAATGGCAGGTCTCGGTTTCGAAAAGTTTAAAATCAGCGGATTTTTTAAGAATGTGAAACGTTTCAAATATCTTGGTATCCGTTAGTTTATTAATGCTCAATACGAATCACACGACGTGGTAAATGTCCATCGCAAAGTTTCCCGGGCCCTATACGGCATCTTTGTAATACAATAGAATGTATTATTCTTCTGGGCTTTAAGTTAATACCTGTGCTGTTAGTACGGTAACTAATTGCACGACTTTATGCTACTGGCTGCCTGTTGGCGGTTTGTGAATATTAGGCGACTATTCCGCAGTAGCTGACGGATTTCCGCTCAAATATTCATATCAAATTTCGGACCGTGCGTGAAAAGGTCTGTTCCGAAAGATTTTTTCCAAGTTCGCGCATTAATTTCCTCGAAAATTAGACAAGGCAAATTATTTTTTTTCAAACGGAATGTGTGGGGTTTGTAGCCTGCTTACCTTCGACGCAGGATAGGGTTCGAAATTAATTGGTCGTAGAAAAACCATTCTTGAAGAAGTACATTTTCATTGATTCAAAGGCAGTCTGTAAACCCCCCCCCCCCGTCCCCTATTCCTTTTTTTATTGCGAGGCCAACAAACGCTGAACGAGTTATCTTGCCCCTCCAAAACCATTGACTCTCCCGCTCAAAATCCAGCCCAAGCCCATACTATCAGAGGAATATATAAATGTACAGACCCGAGGAATATCAATCGAACATGTGCGTCTGACAAAAAAAGAAGAGCTTACCAGAGCAGATTTATTGAACTGCTGACACTGGAGGGCTTGGACGAGTTAAGTGCACTTACTCGAGGAGAAGTGCGCTGTCACGCTGACCTAGTCGGCCGTGGGTTGATCGATTTTTTCTACGTTCGCTGCCTCGGCCTTTTGCACCGCGTGCGTCATGAGTCACCACCTCGATGGTGGGTGTCTGTGCCCCCAGGAGTGGTTTTTCGGTCTAATGGCTCCCTCTTTCTCCCCGTCGGATGAGTTAGTCGTCGCGCCAGGTCTGCGCGACTTTCGCAAGTTGCTGTGTAACCGTCTTGCCCTAGTCTTCGTGCAGGTAATGACGCTGGAATTTGTAAACTGCAGAAGGTTCATGATGACCGCGTTGGTTGGGTTGGCATCTTAATATCACGCCTCGAGTTAGAGTCGTTCTACCTAGTCTGAGACAGTCGCTCCCTAACGGCCGCATGCATAGCCAGCTTCTCCATTGTGTGTTTCAAGTTGTCAGTTTGGGTCTAGTCTCCGAACAGCCAATTAATTCTTGTTAGGCGGGTTTACAATTTTCGCTCGGCCTCCCCGAGGGTAGTTGCAATCTCCGTCAGTGCAACTTATTTCGCAAGCAACTACCGAGGTTTCAATGAGTGACAGTGTGTCCGTTGGTTGCATTAAATGGCAATTTAGTGAACTTAACGCCTTGACAATGGTGAGCTGACCAAGCTCTCTAAAAACGTCCGCAGTTCAGTTAATCTGCTCTGGTGAGCCCTTCCACTTTCCCAAATTATCACCTCAGATCTCCCACCCTTGTCACCCTTCCTATGCTAGTGAAATTCACGGATCAAAATTTCATATAAATGTTCATTGTTCTCTAAACGATGACTGGTGTAAACAGTAAAAGTACGAAATAAATCCCTTCTGGGAACGAAAATTTCGACTTTGCCCCCATGGAAATCAGGTGAGGGCAAGTTTGAGAAATTGTATCGTTTTCGAGGAAAGGGGGACGAATTCAGCATATAAAATTCTGTTTTGTAAATTTGTGGCGATTCGTGTCGTAAAAGTCGGTAGTAAACTTGTATAGCCGTTTTTGAGTAGAAAGCTTATTAAAGAAAGATTTCTATTCACTAGGAAACATATTGATTGCCAGCCGTCATTCTGGAAGAGAATTTACTTCTGCGATGAGGTCTTAGTTTGCGAAAAGCCTACGAAGTCGACCCGGCTGGTCATATGTGGAAAGAACTTCACAAAAGAACATACTGAGCAGACGGCAACCCTTAAGAACTGTCGACGGTTAATGGTTTCGATGATTATCCAATTTGGAGAGCGGTTAGTCTGACGGTCGACTACGGACACCATCAACAGCAAGGAGTTCGTAAACATTTTGAAGGATGTTTTCGACTACTACGACATCCACCGACGACTATTTGATACCATAATTTTACACGACATTGCTTCTGTCCATTGTTCTAAAGAAAAAAGAATCTGATGACGCTCTCAACCGTAATCGGACTTTTTAGACAACAGCCAGCCTGTCTGGCTGTGGCCTCCAGTCAAACTTCATCCCTGCCAACAGCCCGGATTCCAACTCGATCGAAAATCATTTTGCACTTATAGAAAGAAGTTGGCGAAAGGAGAAAAAAGAAACTTTCAGTGCAAGCAAAGCTTGATTTTGTGCTAGATAATCACATTGAACAACCCATTACGGACAACCTGGCCATTTTCATGTCTGAGAGTCTTCCTGATGTGCTAAATGCAAGGGGACAATCAACAACGTACCGATCTTTTGTACTTGTTATTATTTTTTCATTATTTTCATAACTTCATGTGTCCCCTTCATTATGAACCCTTATAGTTTGCCCTTTATATGCTACCTGTAATATAGCCATGTTCTAAAATTCTGATTTTACACGAAAATTGATTATGTTTACGTAAGGAGATATTGATTTATATACCCAACTATGCCTGCGTTTTAAGAACAATAGTTTATTACTTCTGCAAGACTTTGGGGAAAGCAATTTGGGCAAAATTTGCGTTACAGAGTTTTTCTTGTGATCATTTATGACACTTCACCAGTGAACACGCCTACTGTACCAGGGCTGGCAAATCGATGCTTCAACTAGTGGCTAGTTTCAACGCTATTGGTATGCAGTATCACTTAACGGCGTTCTCTTGAACTGTACTAAGCTGCTAGTAAAGACCTTCTTAAAAAAAAGTGCACCACAGCTGGTCATAAAAGAGGTTAGACCAATAGTGCGTGAAGGGGGTGTTTTCTACTGGGGTGAGGGTGACATTTGAGCAAAAAAACATTAGTTTGGAAGTTTTAAGGCTATTTAGTTTTTGAAAAGGCATTAACTTACAGGAAGACTATAGATATTGTTGCCCGACATAGTCAATACCTTCAGACAGTGAATATTCGGGAATTCACCCCTAACCGAGTGCAACTGGTTTCGGTCAAGGCGCAGCTCGACCAACTGCTCACAACGCCACAGAGCTCCGTTCAGGGAGCTAATGCAGTTGTCCTGTAGATTTAGAACTTGCAAGCGTGGCAGTGCACCCAGGATTCCGCTGCTGGGTAGAACTTTCAGTCCGGTTCGCGCCAAGTTTAATTCCGTGAGGTAGTACAGAGGGCCGACATTGCGCGGTCTCAGTTTGCGCCATTCGGCATACCACTTTTCAACGCCATCAATCAGGACCTGTAGCGCCCTCTTCTGCTCTCTGCTAACTTGCATTTTTCGGAGGTTGCACACCTCTTTGCTCGGCCTTTTGGCCAGCGGTTGCTATGGTGACGGCCAACAAACAAACAAACGTGGTCAGGTCCAATTCGCTTTCGAGCTGTTGACTTCTCTAACTGTGGTGGGAAAAGAACCGAAAAAATGTCTTTCTGCTGGTCAACTGGTAGATGTGCAGTGCACACCGCCCCAAAGCCACCATGCGCAATAGGGTCATGAGAACTAAAGACCGATTAAAGCCTGAAGGGCAATCTGGAGTAGCGAATCTCATTCCGTGTCACAATTGTCCTTGTAACTACACAGGGCAGACTGGGCGCATGCTGGGATCGTGCATACACGAACATAAGCTGGCTGTGCGACGAGGCGACGCATTATCACAAGGGACGGCCCACACCTACGAAATGGGTCACGAGTTTATCTTCGCAGCCACCAAAATAGTCGCCCACGCCGGAAACAAAACAGACCGAGAATTGATTGAGGCCTGAGTCTCGGATGAGAACTCGGTCAATCGATTTATCGATTTGGCGCCGGCGTACAGGGCCTTGTGTAGTCACCTCCAGTCTTGCGCCGTCGGTCGATGATTGACCTACAGGCCTTACAACTGTCGCTTGTTCTGTTGCTGCTACTACCTCTGACGATGGACTCCTGCACGAGTCTGAAGGCTCAGGACAATAAATAAAGTGTTCCGGTGCTCGACTCTTCTTCTTTACTTAATGCATCATCTTCTTTTAAAAGTCGGATGCTGTCTGGAATCAGCTGGCAGACAAGCTAGGCCACGGCAGGTGTTAACCGAGCCGCACACAGCCTGTTCATACCAAGAAAAGGTAGCAAAAGAGATCAGTGTGATAGGACGCCTAGGCGCGGACTGACACCGCGCAAGCACTTGTAGCGCATGTCCGAATTAACCGGCAGACGGGCTCGGAAAGTGAACTGGTGCGTGGGAGATTTGTTATGAGGACACCGTCCCCGCGACAAATCAGCGCATTCTTTATCATATAAAATCAGGACTGAAAGGCTGCCAACTGACGGGATCGTCCCAAAACTGAGAATAGGGCCACAATAGCTCCTTTGTGACATGGCCATTGTGGCATTTTCACCAGTGCGGGGTTCATTTTGACTTAATTACAGCCTGGTACGTGCAGTGGGAATCAGGTCATTGGTGTGGCACGCGTAGATGTGCCGTTAAGCTTTGCAAACCACTGCGCCGCGCCCGCCACCGCCCGTATTGACGCTGCCTTGCCATCGTGGAAGGGAGAGTAAAGGAGTAGTTGCGGTAGACGCTGCGCAAGTCCGATACCTCTAAAGCCACCGCCCTGAGCCCCTTTCCATGCTGTAGGGCATATGGTGGACGCCGTCAATGGCGTGGATATCAGTTCCCAGCGCCAGGTGACCGACCGACTTGGACAATGGACTGGTGCATGGGAGAGAGAAATAAGGATGAAGTCGTTTCTGGCTAGTCCACCCCCACGGTCCACCGGTACACTCCTCACTATGGCAAATATGGCACACTTTGGAATTATCACTATGCGCTATAAGTCGTGGCTTCAAGCGCTGCCTACCGAAGGGACAAATCGTCCAGTACGTTGTGTGCGTTTGGGGTGACTGGTTCGAGGAATGAGACTCAGGCTCAATGGTTCCGGGATGTGGCCTCTATGACACTCCAACGAAGCTGAGGTCCGAGCCAGCTCGTTCTTTTGCGAGAGATTGGTGTACTGCGTGGGAACCGGTTCGTGTGTGGGACACGTAGACGGGCCGCTTCGATTCAAGCCGTCCCATTGTTGCTTTAGTGAACTACTGGATTATTATGGACACTGAGCCACAGACCCGTTGTCCTGTCCACCACGATTGAGAATACTCACTAAGGTGAGAGAGGGGCGTTCGAATCTCGAGTGGTTCCAGTCTGAGGTCGGTTGTGATTGGTCATCGACGACTAATAAGTCATAATTGGCCATCCCAATCTCCCCTGTCTTTGTTGGGAATTCCCCCTGCATCGTCACTAGTCGCTATCATACAGCCTAAGCGGACTCTAGATTTCCAATCAAGGCTCAACAAGACAATAAGTCCGCCAATTTGATCGCTGAACGTCCCTTCCCACGACGAGCCGATGCATTTAAATTTTAAATGACCCATGGGAGCAGGGTTCAAACGTCGGGCGCGCAAACGGTATCACTGCGGCGTCCACCGTCTTTGTGCGTAATGCCTACTGATTGTTCATTGCTCGTGGCATTTGGATGCAGATGAGAGGTTAACTTTCAAGCGTGTGCGAACGAAACCATGGTCGGACGAAAAGGCCTTACTAGTTTCGACATCACGCATCGATCTGCTGTTGTGACCCAGCTGTGAAACCCCGAATTGACTAAAACGTACTCGATCTGACTGGCTGTATGTTTGACTACCACGGCTTTTGGTTGAATACCAGGTCGGCAGATGTTTGCGGCGATGCTGGAAACACGTGTCGGTAAGAAACAGGCGGTTCTGATAGGCAAAATCCATAAAGAAGAAGACATGATCGCTGGAACAAGAGCTTTATTCTCCTGACGCTTCGGATTCCTGCTCAAGCCCATCATCAGAGACAATAGCAGATACCCGTATCCCAGTCCACGAAAACAATCTGCAGATCCCGGCGAGGGAGTCTTTCAACTAACTTCTGCAACTGAGATTAAAAGGTCGTTCGATCGCGCTGTTCGGTAGCTGATGTTAGTGCATACACTAAAACGACAGAGCTGTTCGTAAAGTGACACTTCGGTCGCACGTGAATCCTCAGGTCATTGACTGGTTCCCATCATAGTAGTGCATGGGTTGCTTGCTCTGAGAGGGCTACAGCCATAATAGCAATCTGCAGATCCCGGCGAGAGTCTTTCAACTGAGAGTAGAAGGTCTCCCGATCGCGCTGTTCAGGAGCTAATGTTGGTGCATACACTAAGACGACAGAGATGTTCGTAAAGTGACACTCTAGTAACACGTGAGCCCTCAGGTCATTGACTGGTTCCCATCCAAACAGTGCGTGGCTTGCTTGTTCTGAGAGTGCGAAGGCCATGCTGTGTTTACCAGAAGGGTTGTGTGGTCTTTGTGATACAGGGTGAAGTAGGAGTGGACTTCCGAGATCCTTCTTCCCCTTGCGCCTGAATCAGGGATTCAAACTTTAGGCAGACAGCAGACATCTGCGTTGTACTGACGAAGACCTGACGTCGTCAGAGTCTGGGTACCAGGGTCCAGAAATGTTCACACGTCCAACAAGAAGAGTGTTGGGAGCGCCTACACTCCCAAGAACAAGAGCCAGCCAATCACGGGAGGCAACGTGCGTTTTCTCTACTGCGCTGTCATCTTACTCGTGGCGCCTCTCCATTGGCTTTTCCTCTCGGACCTGATCGATCAGCATATTCGAATTATCGACCGGCTCGTCTCGAATGTTCTTCCCGAAGGGCATTGGGCCGAACGCCGGCGAAGCGCCGTAAGGCGTTATAAATACGCGTTACTTCCAGTTCATTTTGACTTGCATTTTCCTAATACACAGTTTCGTGGCCGGTCGCGTTCTCCTTCTCTGCCGCGTTGGTATTGGGGACAAGGGTCGAGTGCGCATACGCTCCACAGGATTTCACGTACCAGGCGGGTCATAACAAAGAGTTCGTTCCCACTTGAGTCGTCCAGTTTGCATACTATTCGCCCGCACCATTTGGCGAGGGTTGCGGAACACGCCGGTTCCTGCGGACGCCGTAGCGTGGACTGTAACACTGCAGGCTGACATTTTCACGAGGTTTCCTGGGGATTTTGGGTACAGACATCTCCCCAACATTCGTTTATATGGTTTGTTCGAGGTTTTCTTCTCTAGAGCTTTGGCTAGGAGGCAAAACCATAAGGCAGAGGTGGCAAGCAAAGGTATTTAATGACGTTTCACGGTCGCCATCGGGCTTCAAAGAATTTATTAAAGTAGTCGGCTTGCTGGGCATCAACCTTTCGCACCCTTGAATCATCGACGCTGATGGTCCGCGACTGCCGGGTCCAGGCCCCGGAAACAAACCGCAGATCACGACGAGGGAGTCATTCAACTAACTCCTGCAGCTGCGAGTCTCTTTACCGCGCTGTCCGGCAGCTGATATTGGTGCGGACACGGAGATGATAGTGATGTTCATAAAGTGGTCCTCCGGTCCCACGTAAACCATCCGGCCATTGACTGGTTGCCAAACAAGTAGTGTACGGTTTGCTTGTACCGATGGACACACTGCGTCCACTGTTAAAGTCGCGTGGGGGTGTGACACGGGGTGAAGTGGTAGTTGACTTCCGTAATCTCTATTTCGCGAGCGCATTGAGTCGGGAATTCCGACTTTGGACAGACGGCAGACATTCACATTGTACTAGTGCAGACCGTGCTTCATCAGACTTTTGGTACCAGCGTCCAGAAACCATCGCACATTCCAGAACCCAATGCCAAGTGTCCGTTCCCGGTTGGGTACTTCAGCTCGCGTACTACTCGACCGCAACACTGGACCAGGGATTTTGGGTACAGGCATCTCCCCAACAGTCGTTCGTAGTATTTGAGGTTGTCTCTAGGCTCAAGAACCCAACCACAAAGCAGCGGTGGCAAGGAAGCTCATTTAACGGCGGTTCACGGTCACCATTTCGTCATCGGGCATTGCCGTCGTGCCCTGGTATCATTGATGCTGCTGGTCCGCGACTGACCATTCGCCGGATCCGAGAACCTGTTTATTGCACAGCTAACCTTCGCAGAAGGCCGATCGACTATCCGCCACCCGTGGATGTGTCGTGTAGCCGGCAGCTACAGTAACAGGTAACCCATCTTCCCGCGTAACCCCCAACTGGCCCCACAAGAAAAACATCTAGAAACGTTACTATCGCCAACGGTAATACAAGGGCCCAGGCCCCACACCGCTACGACAAAGGTACAGTGTCTGACTTCTCTCATGAACTGCTAACCGAAATGTTTGGAATGCATTTTCGATTAAAAGTGACTACGTAGGTGGGTTTGAAGTGTTGATTATCCTGCAACATGATCCCAAGATATTTCAGACACGCCAGATGGCCGGCTTTTGAGTAAACTTCGTTCCGGCCGGCTTCGAAGACTCTTGGAGCAATCTGTAGAAAATTACTACTTAGGTAGCATGAGGTTTTCCCGCTGATTTTTCGATGCCCGTATGAACTCACTTATAGTTTATAGACAACGTGCATGAAATGCGCATTTTGAAATTTCGGCCGACACTTCATGAGTTAACCCACCTACTGTAAGCAGCACAAATAAACGGACGGACACGATATTGCATGAATGGAAATTTCACGGTCTTAAAAATCTCATAATTACAAGCTTTTTAAAACCGAAAGCTACTCGCAGTTCGAGTGTAAAAGTTTAAAATGTAATTTCCCTCCAAATGCGTGCGGAAGTAATAGTATGTTTGCGCATGCTTTCCATAAAATATATTTGAATTTACACGAGCACCGTAAATAAATGGGAAATTTTCATACGGCCTGAAAGAAGCTGATTTAAAAACCGACATCGAGGCGGGACTGAAATATCTCGAAACTATGCTGCGCGATAATTGATATCAGAACTGCACCCGAGTAATTCTCTCCAGTCTAAAAATGCATTTCAGGCATTTAGTTAACATCTAATGAATTTGAAGCAAGCACAGTCAGCAGAATGTATTGGAACTAATAAATTTCGCGACGGCTTATCAACTGCAGCCTGTCGTTACACAACAGAGATAAAAAAGACTACTTTCTCTAGTGGATGTTTTCGGCATATTCCAATAATCCATTTGATCCAGTTTTACGAAAATCGGCGACCTCGGTGGGATTCCAACCCAGGACAGCAAGTGCAAAGCTTGAGTGCAGTCAACGCTCTAACCACCTGGACCACGAGGTCCCACCGGGAATCGTGAGATACAATTAGTCAGCTGACTTCCTCAGAATCCGTGGATTCCATACCCTGCGGTAGGTGGGGCGAGCAACTTGGTCTAGATTTGACTAAACTCACGGCTCTCAGTGGGTACTGCGGTAGCCGAGATACTGTAAATTACGGCCCGGCTGAGTGTAGACGCCGGAGCAACCCACTCGACCGTACCTGCGAGTCGGAGTGGCCTTCTGTCGACGAGCCAGGCGCCATTATCGATTCGAGAACAATGGGTTAGAATCCCGACACAGGGGGCGGGGAGGGATTCGGGTATGGGAACCCGTATCCAAATAAGCAGAAATCCCGTGAAAATGACGTCCAACCGGTACGACTGCAGAGAGCGGCCTGATGAGGACTCAGGCCGTTGCGGCCGGCGAATGGCTGGTCGTTGACGACAAACACGCCGGAAATTCCCACCCCAGTCTTCGTCGGCATTCCTTCTAAATAGCGAGAGACAGTAAACTATCTGCCCTCCTTAACGAATACGACTAGCGCCGATGATTTACCATTCAGAAAATGACAAAAAAGACGTTTATTTTGCATAAGATATCCGCCAAAATGCTCACAAAAGTGCATCATGATGGTAAAATGTTACACGACGGACCAAGGGCTAGGCAGACTAGAAGATGCGACAACGGGTCCACTTGATGAGCTTAGGAAACCGCAAACCGAGACGTTTCATGTTGGACAGGAAGAAGACCGGTACGGGGGCCACGGCATCCCGTGAGTGTCGCACAGGGTCGCGCTCAATAAAGCTAAAAAAGCCGGGTGGTGTTGGGCGCAGGGGATGTGAGCCCGGTCTCTCGCCTGTTTCCTCGTCGCCCTGCACACCAAAATGCAGTTTGTGAGAGTGCAAGTGCAGACCCAAGTAGCGCACCTTTGATTGGCGTATTTGAAGGGCCTCGAGGGTGCGGTTGGAGAGACGCTGAGGTGCCAGAAACCCAAAGTGGGAGTATTTGTGGTCTCCGAGCACTGGAGTTTCCAGAGCAGTGCTCAGGTGTACGCGAATCTGATGTCTGATACCTGTGCGGGTGGGGATAAGGTATGGGTTAGGTTACCTTGGTAGCACATACACCTCCCGCCCCCACATTTCCAGTAAAAAAATAACTGTTGAGTCAACAGCAACGAGGATCATGTGGAAATCGGGGTTGTGGGGGTCGGAACATTGAAAACAACCGAAAGGAAAATGTCGTACAATCGCTGTTGATTTATTTAAGCACATCAAGCACTGGAAAACTTTGCGGGGCTTTTTACAGGAGGACACAGAATAACGCCAAGCTACCCTCACGTGCCCCTGCAGTAGGCCCCGGCAGCCGAAGCCTAGTTGTGTGCACCAACGAACGAACCCGTCGTCATATGCATCACTTATAAATACGTATTCCAGACTACTTCAATGAATTAAGTAGCAAGTCAAACTATGTTTAACATTTCACGAAGAACCCAGTTTACCCGACCAAGAATGTTTCGCGTGGTAAAAAACAACTCTCCCGTTTCTACATGGCATTAAATTCGGCGACAGTTTGCTATCAGTAGCGATTACAGATAATATATAACGGTCCTGCTATAAAACAGTCATGAGTCCTTTAGATTGCAATTTAACGCTATGACGCCCCTTATGTAGTTAGTTGTCATTACGGGTTCAGGCATGAACCTGAAACTGTTCCACTGACCGTATCACTAGACAGGCAAGCCTGACCTCTGTTCTAGAAGTCAAGTACGGTATGCACCATGATGCTGTCACACGGGCTGGGCGCACATATGCACTTTAGTCGCCTAGGCAAAGGCCTGCCTACCATTCAGGTTGTTAACCCCGGCCAGATGGATCACGTGGATCGATAGGGGGGCAGCCCATGCACTTAGTGCAGCAACAGGATTGGCTTGGTGTGACGATGTAGATAAGGGCGACAGCATACACGGCCCCAACTAGCATGGATGCGTGAGCCCAATTTTGACTGGGTGGCCACATAACAGCGGGCGGATGGGCCCGGTGTCCGCGTGCGCACTCAAGAGCCAATCAAAAGAGGGACATGCTGTGCCAATCAAAGGGACAGCCCGACATCGCTAAGCGATAATAAAACGAAAAACCACCCGCGGGGTACTCTTCGACAATTTTCGCTGAACACTTGCACGCCCGTTTTGAGTATCTAAGAGAAGGCGCACATGCTTATCGAGGGGAATCATTCCAACTGGTAGTGTGTGTAACTTGTGGATTTAGTCTTGGCGGCGACTGGAACGCAAAAGAACTAAAAAGCACCATTCTTTGGTGTTGCATGAAAGTATGGCGAAAGTGTGACTTTTTTAAAGTTTACTTACACCAAGCGTGCAGTGAACATTTCAGAAGCATACTCGGATGGTCCGACACAGCAACTGATTGGACTAACTACCATTTGACTAGAAAAAACGGATCTATACTAGTTTTTCTAATGGCTGACTTTGGCATATTCGAATGATCTATTTGGCCCAGTTATGAAACAGTCGGCCACCTCGATGGGATTCGAACCCACGACAGCAAGGGCAAGCCAACGCTCTAACCACCACCTGGTCTACGAGACCCCATTGGGAGCCGTCGCGGACTGTGGCTTTTGAAGAACTCGTTGAAGGAGGTGCCAGGCGCAGTGTGGCAGGAAAAGACAACTGCTGGAATACATTGGGGTAAATTATGCTTAAATAGGTGTTTTGGCAGACCTTAGTGGTTTATTTTGACCCAACTGTGAATAAACACACGACTCCCGGTGAGGCCTCGTAGCTTAGGCGGCTAGAACGTCGGCTGTGCTCAAGACCTCCCAACGAGGTCACCGAGGTCTTTACAGATGGGTCCAACTAAATTATAATTGAAGAAAAAGAGGGGTCGAGGGCCGGAACATTTTGTTTATTGTTCTGGACTTCCGAACTCGTGCAGGAGTCCATCGTCAGAGAGAGAGTAGCAGCAACAGAACAAACGACAGGTATAGGGCGTGCAAGCCAATCATGGGCCGACGGCGCAAGACTGGAGGTGTCTGCGCAGGGCTCTATACGTCTGCGCCAGATCGATAAATCGATTGACGGAGTTCTTATCCGAGGCCCAGGCTTCAATCAAGTGTCGGCCTGTTTTGTTTCCGGCGTGGGCGACTACTTTGTTGACTTCGAAGTTTAACTCATGACTCACTTCGTAGGTGTGGGCGGACACTTGAGATAATGCGCGCCTCGTCGCACAGTCAACTTGTGTTCGTGAACGCGCGATCCGATCATGTGTCCAGTCTGGCCTGTGTAGTTACAAGGACAGTTTCGGCATGGTGTGCGATACACTACTCTTCAGCCTTTAACCGGTTTTTAATGTACATCACCCTACTGCGCATGACGGTTTTGGAGCGGAGTGCAATTCCATCACCTAACTCCGCAGCAATGCGCTCGGTTGCTTCTGAAACGTCCCTGGTGTATGGCAGAGAATGCCATGTCGTTGGTGGCGCATACACCTGGAACTCGAACTTTCGTCCTCGTTCGAGAAAATAAGTTATTTTTCAGAGTTTGAATGGCAAATCTGCCTTAACACTCTAGCCACATGGGCTACAAGACCCCACCGGGAGCCATAAATCTAAATCAAGCAGCTTACGGCATCAGAATTTGTGGGTTCCATGCGTTGCAGTAGTAGGCTGAGCGGGTAGTTTGGCCTAAGTGTGATTAAACTCGGGGCTCCCAGTGGGGCCTTATAGCTCAGGTGGTAAGAACGTTGGCTGTACTCAAGCCTTGGCATTGCTGTGATGGGCTCGAACCTCACCCAGGGTGGCCGAGTGAAATGAATTTATTCTTCTGTTTTCCGCATATAAAAGATGTGTCGGCCCACGTCAAGGCAGTTTCGTGGGATAAAGCTTACCTGTGAACGTTGTACACTGAAGCAGGGCAGCATCATTCCGACGATCGAGAAGTTGATAGTGTGTAACAGCATTTGTGCCTACAGACGCAGACTTTGAAGCAGCCTCCGTGGCACCGGTGGACTCCTCCTCCTCCTCCTCCTCCTCCTCCTGGGTCTTGGGTGGTCGCTTTGCCACCATCTGAAAATTGCAGCCTTCGGTTACACAGCAGACAGAATATTTTCATCATGACAAGGCCAAATGAAACCACCGTCCTACGTCCCCGAGATTTGCAGTCAGTAACCGATCTCATGGAGCGTTAGTCAAAATTTTGCAATGCATTTTCGATCAGGAAGGATTATCTAGGTGGGGTTGTGGTATCGATTGTCACGCGGTATAATCCTATCATATTTCGGGTTCGTCAGGATGAAATGCACGGTTTTTCGACCTGTAAAAGCTACACTTGGCAAAAATGACTACTTAAGTAGCATGCACTTTTCCACGTTGATTTTCAGTGTCCTTACAAATTCAGATATACCATATAGAAAAATGCACAAAAATATACTTTCTTGTACTCACTTGGTAGCTAATTATGCGTTCTTTAAATTTTGTACTCGAAAAAAGAGTAGCTCTGGGTTTTAAACGAGTTTCTAATTGGGACATTTTTTACGACCGTGCAATGCCCATTCATACAGCATCGTGCCTGTTCGTTCATTAACGCTCCCCGTGAGTGTTATAACATAGTCTGCATCCGTTGCAAAATTTTATGAGCTCTACATAGTACCTTCTGGAATGCATCGAAAAATATGTGCTTTTTCTTGGGCGGAAAGTACAAGCCTAGTAAACTGAAGTCGCAAACCATAAAGTAGGGGCTGGTTCGACTTGATATTCGTAAACTTTTGGAAAACCAAACATACCATTTGTTCGAGTACAAAATGTAGAAGCGACATGACTTGCTACCAAATGAGCAAAAAGGGGCACATTTTCGTGCATTTATAAGGGCATCAAAATTAGTGTGCAAAAGGTGCATACAAAGGCCGACACCCTACGAAGTCCGAAATATTATGGGATTATGCCGGGGTGTAGGGGTGTCAGCGGTGGGTTCACGTGAAGGTCGTAGTGGTCGCTCACTTGCTTGCAGGTGAGACTACGCCTAGCGTCCACTTGCTGGCACTCAACTCTCACCTGTGGCTCCACGTAGCTGGGCTCTGCCCAGCGGCCACACCCCGGGCAACCGTCTCGACCGGCGGGCTAAACCAGGTGAGGGCGGTTACTCCCTGTGCGCGTTGTGCCGCGTGCACAGGTGACAGCGGACTCCGTGGACGGTTGGTCGGATGGAACACCGCGTCGGCGCCGTCGTGACGAGGCTCTGTCTGACACACCGCTGGTCAGCCGGTTGGTGGTGGAACGTCGCATCGGCATCGTCTAGACGAGGCTCCGCCTGGTACGCCGTTGATCAGCCGGTGGGATGGATCTCCGAATTGGCACCGTCGACACGCGCCCATCTGGTGCACCGTAGGAGACCGCAGGCTTGCGGCAATGCCGTAAGCCATTGGCAAATTCGAGTCGTTCTTCCACTGCCAAAAAAACTCGTGGCCCACAGTGGAGTTCGGCCGCGCCGGCACATCAAGCAGCCCCTATTCAGGGGACAGGGCACTGCTTCCTTCGGGGGGGCCTGGAAAAGCTGGCCTAAAAATTGCTGGGGAACCACGTCGTCTGCTGGCGCACCGTGGTCGCAGACGCAAAACTCACGGTCGAAACAATCAAACTCGAAACAACAACAACAACCATACTCATTCTCCTCATCCTACCTCTTCTACCTCTACCTCCGTCTATTCTTCTGCCTATTCTTCTCCTTCGTCATCTTCTTCTCCACCTCCTTCCCATCGCCCCACTCGTTTTCCCCAGACTGGCAGGGTGAGCCCGCTCACTCTGGCAGCCTGGAATGTTCGTTCCCTTTTAGACAATCCGAGGAGCAACCGTCCGGAACGGAGGACGGCGCTAGTGGCACGAGAACTGGCGCGCTACAAGGTGGACATCGCCGCACTCAGCGAGACCCGATTCTCCGAACAAGGCCAACTGGAGGAGGTGGGTGCCGGTTACACCTTCTTCTGGAGTGGCCGACCCAGGGCAGAGCGACGTGACGCGGGCGTCGCCTTCGCCATCCGGACCGACATCGTGGGACGACTGCCCTGTTTGCCGCAGGGCATCAACGATCGCCTGATGAGCCTCCGCCTGCCTCTCTGGGGAGGTAAATTCGCCACCATCATCAGCGCCTACGCTCCGACGATGACCAACCCCGACGCCGTCAGAGACAAATTCTACGAGGACCTGCACGCCCTCTTGGCGACTGTGTCGAAGGCGGACAAGTTGATTGTCCTTGGTGACTTCAACGCCCGCGTCGGCACAGACCATACTGCCTGGAGGGGAGTGCTGGGTCCTCACGGTCTCCGCGGCTCCAACGACAACGGCCTGCTTCTCCTCCGCACCTGCGCAGAACACCGCCTCATCCTGACGAACACGTTCTTCTGTCTGCCGGAGCGAGAGAAGGCCACCTGGAGGCATCCTCGGTCGCGTCAGTGGCACCTGCTGGACTATGTCCTCGTCCGGAGGCGAGATCAGCGGGACGTGCTGGTGACGAAGGCGATCGCGGGTGCTGATGGGTGGACCGATCATCGCCTCGTCATCTCGAAGATGCGTATTCGCCTACAGCCTCGCAGGAGACCTCAAGGTAAGCGACCCCCAGGTAAGCTGAATGTTGCTTTGTTGTCTTTGCCTGCTCACCGTCTCCATTTCA